CACCACCAGCTCCCGTAGGTTAGTTCTGTCTCCATGCTTAGCGCTCAGCAGGTGTTGTAAGTACAGCAGTGGCAGTGCAAACCCACCCCTGTGTTTCCTTGGGATTTGCTGGATTTCTCTTTTGAAGCGTTCCCTTTCCTTGTGCAGACTGACCAAGAGATCTTTGCTATGATTGGTGTGTTCTGTCCAACCGTAGGTAGTTGAACGTCTGTAAAGTTGCCTGGAATGCCATTTGTTAGGTTATAAACTCACACAGCTCTAAATGAAGGGTTCTACATGTTGTGTATAAAGATGAACTTCAGAAATTGGAGAAAATTGTCATTACATTTGTAAAACTTGTACAGAAGATTTTTCACTATGTGCCTAGCTTTGGTGTCCATTCAGCTGAAATGAATTAAAAAAAAAAGGTGCATGAAGAGAAACAGATAGAAATAAAAAGTATATGTAGAGATGACTATTTTATATTACATGGCCCAATCCTGTATTTATTTTCTCCCTTTTTTGAAGTATTTATAAAGACCTAGTCGAAGACAGCTGTATTTTTTGTTAAAATATTCGGTAGAATTGTGCCTTTTGTCTGTATGTGAATAAATGCTGTACATTTTTGCAGTACCAGCAGTGTTTTAGACTTTGCAGTAGTTTTATTTGGGTTCTTACAGAATCACTTCACTGCAATGATCTGAACAACTCCCACGGATAAAACAAGCATCTGATTGGGATCAGTTCAGGTATCACACTGCAGTTGCAAGATTTATCTTTAGGACTCGTCGTTACTGACAGCTGTGCCCATCACATCACCACAAACCTTGTCTGCTTTTTTCCTTGATACCCACAGAGAGATGTTGCTTACCTCAGATACTTGACATTTGTTGATATATGATGTCTTTCCACAGTCCAGAATCTTCATACATGTTCCACTGGAAGAGGAACATGAAGTTTCTTACCTGTGGCTCTTCAGGATAATTAGGCTGAGTGTACATTGACAGTTTCAACTGCCTGGAGTGCAGCAGTGCTGAGAGAACATTTGCTCCTACAGCAGGATTTCTACATGAGGCTTCCTCTAAACTCAAGATGCAGAAATACAGAATGGACTTGGAGCAGAGCAGGAAAAGGACAAGGCTAGGAAGGCACACATCTAGCCATACATCTTGAAAAGCAGCAGCAACAGCTCTTTCACCATCTGGCCTGTGGCAGCAGGTATAGGGCTCTTGGGAAGACCCAGAATTAATCTTGCCTGTTGAATGCAAGAAACTGTTCACCTAGAAATGATTCCTAAATAGGCACAGTCAAGTACAAAGTTTTACTCAATGGGAAGCAGTACTGTCACACTAGGGAATCTCTGAACCACTCATAGCCTGGTGTTGGGGTGGGAAAGGAAGGTCAGGGAAACAAAAGCTTTCCAGTGGGAAGAGTAGTGAGAAGAAATACACAGTTAGAAACAAATGGCAAGCAACCCAGACAGCTGACTGAAAAGCTCCATGCCATGAACCAATCCAGTATCACAAGAGAAGGAGCAAAACACCTAACCTGCAAGCCTCAAGTTTTAATTGCTTCAGCAATTGACTTTCCTCTGAAAGTCCAAGTTGAGAGGAACAGGCAAGCAGCTGCCCCTAGACACTAATGGGAAAGAGGAGGTGGTGGTAGTACAAACAGCTTTGTCTAACCACATTCCTGGTTGTGGTTCAGACATGCATTTGGTCAGTGTTTAGCTGTTCAGAGGATTAGGCAGACAGGAGGGAAACCTTTGCCTTTCTTGTGTCATCAGCCATAATTGCTCTCCTGCCCCTTAACTTCACTATTAGGTGCTTGTGTCATCCCTGCAATTCCTGTGCTGGCAAACAGCCATCACACAAGAGCTATAGCACAAGGTGAGAGGAATACACTCATAATTAACGAGGAACCACACAGGTGCCCTTCTGTGCCTCGAGGAACAAATACACAAACACTTACAGTTACCTGCCACTTCCAGCCAGGTGTCAGTTCACAGCCAGAGCCTCTCTTTGAGGAGTGAAGGGGATTAATGGCTCACACAAAATCTTCCAGGTGGTCTGTCACCATCTCAGCTGTGCATTATGCAAATGGAAATAAGGTGCTTGGTACTTGCCTCCCTCTGTCTCATACACATGGCTGATTGATGAAAATCTCACCCAAACAGACATTTGGAGCTTCTGGATGATGTATCATGTTGCTTTGAAGAATCTTTGACATCTTTTTAGCAGAATTAGAGGTTGCAGTGGCTACAGGCATACATCACAGAGAAGGCAATAGTAAATACTTGTGTACCACTGTAGGAACTGGGGACTTCCCCTGTGGTAAGCAGAAATTTTTCTTGAGGTTGCATCCATCTCACAGGCTCCACCTGAACTGCCAGGGGTGGCAAGCAGGTGCCATAAACTCTTACTAGCATGAGGTGAGCAACCCAGCTCTGTCCTCTAAAGTACAAGTGTAGTGAAGACCCACTGCCACAGATGTATGGGTTTGATAGTCCAAACCAGCAGTTTGCATCAAGCCACTGGGTAAGCATTACAAGCTAGAAACCAGAAGTAGACTCTTCACATTTAAGAGGAAGGACAAGAAATTCCATCACTTAAGGCCAAAATGGGAGCACTTCAGTTAACACCTACCAAATGCTGAGAGAGCAAGTGGAGTTTGACTCATTTCAGAATGGCAGATATGAAGTTTCCCAACTCTCAAAGCAAAACCTGTGCACAAGAGGATTCCCATATACTGGCAGCTGTACAATTCAGACCCACTATTTCACCTGAAAGCTGCATGACCTTCACCTTTGTGCACACTGAAGTAACAGACAACTGAAGTTCCCAAACGCGTAAAAAACCGAGGGAGCAGCTCAACAGAAAAGCAAGGAATTGTACAATAATTGTCAAACAGGAAGAAAAAGCACAACTGCAGAAACATTACTGTCTCAGTAGCCAGAGCAGCACTTATTAACCGTATTTCAGGGGCACCAGACCAAACTGAACTGAATTCTTAGCACTGGAAGGCAATGGAGGCAACTCACAGCCCAGACAGCCCATAAAACCAGCAGCTACTTAACATTCATGATGTAATTAGTCTTACTATGATACATAAAATGCCTTCAAAATGTTCCCAAGTTACTGCACTTCAAAGAAAACCTAAAAGTGTTGACTATACGTGAGCAAAGCTGAGATGAATTTCAGTCCAGTGTTATCTACCCCCTGTACACAACCTTGCTATGGTTGGAGCTGGTGGGTTTTGGACCAAACGAACCCGAATACACCACAGCACTACATCAGAATTTTCATCTGCGATATTAAAGGACTTTACTGACAACATTTTCCAGTCTTCTTCCCATCTTTATTGTGCACAGACACAGGATCTTCATCCACTCCCTTTCTTGCCTGAATAGACCAGAAAAAAATGCAAGTTTTACAAGCCTTGCTGTGCATTTGCCTTTAGTGCTCCGATATGAAGTTTCTCCATCAATCTTCTTAACTCCAACACGGTGTGAAAAACAATACCTGTGTTTAAATATTTTCCCCATCCTTCAGGACAGCAGTGTTTTTATTCTGTGTAGCTATCAGGCTGAGCTGTAATGAAAAAACAAGCAGATAGTTTGTTAATAGTTCTTTGTAAGATCAAAGTAACAGCAGAAGTTCAATATGGAGGTGTCATGAAGGAGAAGGAACAAGCACTGTAAGTGGGAATTTGGGGTAAACAGTAGAATTTACAGTGTGGTCTGTAGCTCACTACTGCTTTTGTTTTACTTCAGGACCCAAAGAATTGAAGATGATGTAAGATTAGGTAGCAGGAGTACACTTTAAAGGACATCTGCACAGAACAGATGCATTTCAAACCTGTTCAAACATTATCCTCTAGTTTTTGTTTCTTACTGAATTACTACTATTTAAGAATAAGCTAAGGTTTATAGTCCTTGAACTGACCGCAATGAAAGTGTAATTTCTACACTCCTTACTAGTCCAGCTCTAGCCTGTACTTGGTTTAATTTTACAACTAAGCTGGATAATGTAATGAGAACACCCAGTTTAGTCAGGGAGCAGCTCTGAGCCTCCAGAGTGAGAGTACAGAGACAGGGACAGTGCTGCTATGTCTTTTTTGGGGGTGGGGAGAAAGAGGAAGGGGCTTGGCACAGCAGCTGTGAAGTCACTGCACAGCAGCCAGGTCTGACAGCTGGCAGCAGGAACCTCTGCCAAGCTTGGAGAGGGCAAGGCAGAGCTGGAGCCTGGCAGTGAGATCTGTGCAGCAGTTAGGCTGCTCAACATCTATCCAATCTCTTTATTACCCGTCAGGAACAGCAAGACCTCTTCCTCTATGGGCACCAAGGCTGCAATTTTACTCCCTTGAAAAGTGACATGACCATGTTTTTATAGGAATACAGCATCCCACAAGTATTAGAGCTGAACAGATCCATATAACAAACAGAAGGGTGAAAAGAAGTAAATAAATCATTCTTTCAGAGCAAAGCTTCAGCAGCTGAGTAGACCTTGTCATGACAGAGAGCATTTAGAGCCAGGAACCACAGCTTAGTTTATGACAGCTTGGCAGCTATGCCCATTTATTCACTGCTGTTGGGGAAAAAAAATTGTCCTAAATTGTCCTAACTGGACCATTTAGGTCAACCAAACATTTCCTCTCTGCAGCTCACATGAGGTCACCCACATTAACAAGCTATAATTTGCAAATGGGTTTCCTAAATCACTGTAAAAAATTAGGAGGCAGAAAGACCATCTTTACTTAATAGGAGGCCAACCCAAGTAATGAACTTCCTTGGCAAACAAGTGAACCCAGTGTATGAACCCCCATGGGATTTGCTTCAGGTTGTATAGCTTAATAAATCGTATGGAAGTGTCATTTACATCAAATTGGTTTCCATAAACAAACCTAGACTGTCACATCCTGTCTGAGGGTGACACAGCCAAAATCCAAGCTTGCTAAAATGACCCTGGCAATAATGCACAGGAATGCTCATCTCTGCCTCAGGAGTGATGCAAAGGGAGTACTTTGCTATGTTCAGTGTGCTCAGAGAATGTTTTTGCCAGCTGTACCTTTTGAGACGCTGTGGCCGCTCTGTGTTCTGCCTGGTTCAGTCGCCTCTGGAGCCTATCGATGTGTTCACGGTAGTCCATCATTAATTTTGCATCCTGTGTAAATGGAATAGCTCATTACCAATGCCAAGGCCTTTGTACTGAATGCACACACACTCTAGCAACAAAGCTTCAAACAAGAGGCATGTCAGAAGCAGAACTCTTTTCCCTTTGCAGTGAGCCTGAAGACAAACTGCTGACACATTATAGAGGATTTCTAGCTCAAATGTGACATCATATGACTCTTGCCACCAGAGTAATCTGCAGAGGAAGTTCTACTCCACTACCCTGAAGCAAGATGCATAAGAGCTGACGTTGTAATCCAGGTAATTTATTTCACACACGGTGTACGTGTTTTAGCTATACTCAAAAGGTAAAGGAATATATTAGATAATACAAATGAGATAAAACTTGCTACAGATCCGCTCTGTTCTCTTCAAAGGCTCCTCATGAAGCTTTTCTTTACTCACAGAAATCTGTTCTCACATTAGCCCCATTTTTCTCCTCTATGTAACACAGCACCCAAAATAAAAAATAAAGAGAGGGACTTATCCTAGATAGAACTGGATGCTAATCCCAGATTTATGAGGTTGACAGGAAAGCCCTTTTCTATAGTGGCCATTAATTATTGAACAGTGCCCATTCCAAAACAACCCTGCCCTTAATCTTTAATGGATAATGCTTTTAGCTATATGCAGATGTGCACACAGAGTGTAAATTCTACTGTACACATAGTATATGGAGAATTTGGTACCTCTATGTATGCTGCACTATCCACAATGCCATGCCTGCTCCTGCAGGCATCCACAGGCACAAGTGAGTGCAGAAACATTTCCTGAATCGTATAGAATTGCTAATTAGTCACCTTGAAAGATGATCTCTCCTTTATCTTTTGTAATTTGAGAGTAAAGTTCATTTGTCTTCCTGCTGTTTGAACACGTCAGGCAGCAGAAACAGTGAAACTTTCCAATTATTACTGACTATCCCTGTCATGAATCCTTAATTTTCTCTCAACCAGCAATATAACTCCCTTAAATAGGTTTCTGCTAAGATCCTAGTGTACATGCATCAGGTTGTAACTGAAAGTTAACTGAAAGTACCTGTCACATCAGTCATTAACTTACCTCAGTTACCTTCTCATTTGCTATTTCCAGCTGGGAAATGAGCTCCTGGCTACGGAGTTTTTGTTGACTCAGCTCACGCCTATGAATCAAAAGAAAAGATGCTGATTAGCACACAGGAGTACTTCAGTTATTGGAATAGAATTTCATAGGTACTTCCTTGCATTGTAGAGGCCTGTGGTGGATTTTAATTACCAGGGTGCTCTTAAAAAACTGATTTCAACAGCACCACACAGCCCTTCTTCATGCTGTGTTCAAAATGTAATGGCAGAGGAATGTGCTGCATGTGTTGGAATCAGCAGGACTTTGTCAGGACCATTTGGCATTTTACAGGTTGGTTTTTTTTTTCTGTTTATTGAATCTTATTTTGGAGGCACTTTATCAAACATCCTATAAATATAAGTTGCATTTGCACAGTGCATTCAATATTTAAATTAACATTCTACTTGGTGTCCCATACCCAGACTTCAATATGGGCATTTCTGAAGTATCTAAAAATAAATCCTTCTCTGCTGGTGAGACAGACAACAATGTGACACTTCACATGGAAAAGGAAAATACCTCCTTTTATACCGTGTGAGTGTTAGTGATCCTCAGTTTTCATGGTATTGAGGACAAAAACCATTTGAGTTGTAACAGACATCTCTGAGCTGGTGCTCAATGGAAAGAGTTCTTACCTCCTGTCACCACAAGCCACTGAAGAAGAGGGATGACCAAAGATGGAAACATCTCTGAACTTTGGTAAGTTTAGCCAGAGAAAGATGCAAAACTAAATGAGCTGCTCTAACCTTTGACCAGTCTGTCCTTCACTTCCTACATGCTCCATCTCAACTGAAAATACATGCACTGTACTAGAAACTAAAGCCTTTATTCTTTGTGAGGGAATGGAGGTAAGGGAGGAGGTACTTTAGTCTCAGACCTTCATCTCAAAAAGCCTCTGATATTTTAATGATGGCACTTAGTTCTCAACTGTAATTTACTGTTAAAAACTTTTAAACTTAGTATTTCCTAGAAGTTTGAAAACTGGTATATAGCACTTGCAGTACAGGGTTGCAATGTATCTCTTGCATCAGGTCACCAGTAGTGAGATAGTTTCCACTCCCCTGTTCTCAACCAACCCCAGGGAGACATCACAAAAACTGTTCAACAACCTTTAACTTACATAAAAATGAAAGTATATAGGCAGATAGATAAAATTCTATATAGATTATACCTGTGTTACCAAACGTGGGCGCTTTTATATAAAGAATTAAAGATGGATTAAGATTGCAGTTTCATAGGATATTAATATATTAGGCTATAATTGTGATTTGTACTCTGCAATCAATATCAAGCATCAAGATGGGGCATTTTAAATACAGGAGACCAATTTTTAGGTGCCCTAAAAATTCTTCCTTACTGAAAAGAGTCTGTGTCCTGTGCTCGTACCGAGGGGTGGAATTAGCATGCTTAGCAGCACACGCCATAAACAGATTTTAGTTGCTCATATACAGCTGTGATCAAGAAATTATTTTTATAATGAGATCACACTGAACACATATTTAAAGAAAACAGTTTAACCTTGTAAGCATAAGGAAATGTGATGGCTATTGAGCCAGACAGTTGATTCATTCTGAGTGTTAACCTTCCCCCAAACACACATTACGAGATTTCAATATTAGAACTGAGCAATAACCTCAACTGCTGAATAATCAAATCAGCCCCCACTGCACATTGTCTTTGCTAAGTGAGTAGGAAACAAAAGGTGAGCTTTTAGCATTTTGGCAGCCGGGTGATAAATCCACCAGCTGCAGCAAGTACTGTCTGCAGAGCTCTCCTATGACAAATATAGCATGTGCCAGCTGTTTTTGCGCTTGAATTATACTATAATATGCTTCAGTTACTCTTAGTAATTATGAATTTTGTATACTGCCAGTACCTGCAGCTGTCTCTCATCCTGTTAATTTTTTTTTCTTTAATGAACATCTTAAAATAAGCAGCTCTGGCTGCCAAGCATTACACAAGTGCAGCCAAGAATAATGTTTTAGAAATGGAGGAAACTTCTTCATCTCAAGATGCTGTGTAGGGTAGGGAAAAGGATAAGGCAGCCCTGGCCAGCACTTCTTACACTGCCACCAAAGAGGTCATTCCTCGGAGGCAGATCCTTTTCAATTACAGAGGAGATAAAAGTGAGAACTCCAAACCCCACACAGGGCTACCGATGAGTCAGGGACTCCAGCCATGACACAGAAATGTGTCGGAGGCAGAAACTGGAACAAAGGCACCCGTAGGGAAAAGGATAAGGCAGCCCTGGCCAGCACTTCTTACACTGCCACCAAAGAGGTCATTCCTCGGAGGCAGATCCTTTTCAATTACAGAGGAGATAAAAGTGAGAACTCCAAACCCCACACAGGGCTACCGATGAGTCAGGGACTCCAGCCATGACACAGAAATGTGTCGGAGGCAGAAACTGGAACAAAGGCACCCAAAATAGCTGCAGTCAGATGACTTAAGCTAAGCAAAGTCCTCAAATGTAAAAGCAATATGGCAAGGATTCCCTCTGTGTGAGTACTGACAGTTATAATTCAAGTGAATGTTTAAAAAATGAAGCCACTCAGTAGTTATTCAAATATAACAGGTTTGTGCTGCAACAAGTATTTTTGATTTCTTCCCAGAAGTCCTGTAGAGTCAGTTCCTATCCTAAAAAGAGAACAGACCTGTGTGTACCTATTTCTACCCCCGTTCAAGCTAAACCGTACCCTTACCAAGCAATCATCCACATATGTGACAGGCCAAAGCAATATTCATGGCAAAGTTAAAAGAACAGTCAATTTCCTGTCAAGTTCGAGTTAGAAGATCCACCTTTTTCCTATCTGCAGTTTGCCACATCTGCTGCACTGAAGGGCACTCGGGATAATTCAATTCTTTTATTCAATATGACACTTCACTTATCCACCTGAATCTTATTCTGGTCCCTGCTCTGACCAGAATCAAGTTCAACAAAAATAACCTCTTGGTGTTGGTCACTGGTGCAGAGTCTGACAAAGATTTATCTGGTTATTATTTCTCTATTTACCCTAATTCTTATCCTCAGGACTAAGACATACAAATCTATGAGAAATACTGATATGCCAATTAGATGGAATTAACCATCCATTGTGTTTGTGCATTCATCTTAAGCACAGACCAGTCAGGGTGGCCTTTGCAGAATGGATGAATAATCTGCCCTTATTTTTTAAGCTTGCATACAGTCTGTCACTTTATTTCCTTGGAGTATATGCTGGCAGATCCAATTACCCTGGTTTTGCCTAAATTTTGCCTAAATTCTGTTGCCAGAACTCTCTCTCACCCCTTCTCATTCAATACCTTGTCCTGTTGTTACTGAAGTGTGTTTCCTTCCAATTCACAAATTTTCTGAATGTTCCTTTGGTATTGTTGATTCCACTTCCTACCTGCTGTCATTTATTCTTCTTAGCTGGTCTGAAGAACTACAGAGCTTTACACCTGATTCTGTAAGGTAACAGGAACAGTCCCAGCCAGTCTCTTGCCCCCTCCAAATACGCCACAGGAACTGTTTAGATAGATTATAGAGCTTCAGTGCAAGCAAAACCCTTTAAAAACTTGTGCACGTATTTCTCACTTCTTTCAAAGGAGGACAAGAAATGTAAAAAGCTGGAAGCACTTGATACTGGTATTTTACCACAGCTGTCAAAGACAGATCACCTAAGTCCATTAAATTTTTGGGACATTCAAACAGAGCCTTCAACTTTACAATCAGAAGCTCTACACCCTATAGATCAGCAACAGCAGCAACATGGATTGCTTCTCATTCTTACTAAACTCCACACCCACTTCTGGATAAGTGACACTGAAGACCAGAGTAACTCTTTCAACTTCCTGATTTGGTTATTTAGATTACTTAGACAACATTCCAGATATAGGGGGAGGGAAAAAAAATCAAATAGAAACTCAAATATCAGTTCCTAAACTAATGAAGACAGAATAGCTAAATTATTCACCAAGGCTTAAACACTCTTTTTGTGATACGAAAGAAATACAATTGTGAAATGTTTGATAGTTCTATACAATTTCTATACTTCCCTCCTTACTGTTTTCCATTTTAACCCCTATAAAGACTGTGAAAGATAACCTCTCTTACAACCTCTAACAGTAATCATTCATTTGTACAACTGTAAATATTTACTAAGTTCACTTCAGTACATGTCCTTAGGACTCAAAGTCCATCTAAAATGGATCCACTCACAAGTCAGCACAGTTTCATTTCCTACTCTCCCAGCCAAGACGTTTTGCAGGAATAAAGGGAATAAAGCAGGCAGGAGCTGTCAGCCCTGCTGCCCAGGACAATGTTTTTATTTGCAACAATGACCTATGTCCTGAGCAGCACTGACCTTCTCAGCTACCTTCAAGATTGACTTTGGCACAAGGATATTGAAGCAAAACTGGTTCCTCACCCTCTTCCAAGGTGAAGGTGAGGTCCATCACCAATAAATCCTCCTGGAGATGTGTACAGCATCTTAAGATGCTCAGAGGGAAGAAAACTTTTCTCATAAATGAGGACTATAGTGTATTTTTATGAAGAGAACTGTGTGATTTAGTCTACAGGTACACAATGCATTGCCTACTGGTCCAGCACTGGGTTTGAATTCCAAATTCAGTTTTAGCAGCAATAATTACATGCTTAATTTGAATGAGACCCAAACATCCAGGAAAGCACAGACTAATTCTCAGTGAAGCCTGGAAGTATCAATGTACTTGTCATCACTTATCTACACTTTTTCCACTGATCTACTAGATTCACATGCTATTTACAAAACCATCACATTGCTCTACTGTTACAGGTTGCAAAATTTACTTCTTATTAGTTTTTTTGAAATTAAAAATCACCTAATATTCACTGATGTTGCTTCATTCCTAAGAAGTATTTATTTACTGCTTCCTTCATGCATATGGATTACACCTCACCAAGAGAACACTGCAGGCTTAAAAGATGACAAATGAGCAGCACAGAACGTGGAAAAGTTAGCAGCTGCTGCTGGGAAGTTAGTAAAGAAGCCAAAATGTTTCAGACACCTTCACATGGAAAATGAAAGCAATGAGGACAGAGCTGAAAAAACAGCAACAGACCATGAATTTAAGGCAGAGCAATGGGAAACACCTACACTAACAAATGGGACACTGACTCAGTGCTTACAAGAGCTGCACTAACAGCAAACTCCTGGTGAAAGGCAGTATCAAACACTTATGTAAACTACACATGGCACACATGGATAGGACTTTGTTAGGAAGTTTATAACTTCTGGGAAAACATTCAGTTGAAAAGCAAATTAGTATGCTGCAATAGTAATGATTCTTGTTAAAAACTCTATTTTCATTAAAAACTGAAATTCTGCTACGTGTCACCAACACAACCTCTGCTTTGGCTCACTGGAGGAGGGGAAGTTTAGGTTAGATATTAGAAAAAAGTTGTTTGCTATGAGGGTGGTGAGACACTGGCACAGGTTGCCCAGGGATGTGGTGGCTGCCCCAACCCTGGCAGTGTTCAAGGCCAGGCTGGATGAGCCTTGAGCAACCTGATCCAGTGAGGAGGTGTCCCTGCCCAGGGCAGGGGGAGTTGGGACTAGATGACCTGTAAGGTCCATTCCAACCCCTAAATTCTATGATTCTATGATTTCTCTGTAGTTGCTGCAGAGTTGTTCTGCTTTTTAAATAACCAGCAACTTTGTTTTCGTTCACAACAAAGTAAGAAGTGATGTGTTGTTCTGTACTTGCACTCAAAATATTATTGTGATAAGATTAAAATAATATAAGCAAGGACTTCTGTGCTGAGTACTACAGTGTAACTCAGGAGTTAATTTTCATGCCAGCTGCATTCTGAACTACGTAACTAAGTATCTGGTAATGCATATGATGTGAAAAATAAACTAGTTGTAAAATTTCCAGGTAACACTTAAGGTTCTCTTACAGCCACTTGTCACCATAATATCAGAGCATCACTGCACAGATTTCATATCAAACTCCTTATGTCAGTTTAAATGACAACCTTCCTGTTTCTACTGCCAACTTCCTTGTTAGGTACAGCAAATGTCTGATAACAACTGCTATTTCTAGCTTATACAGTATGAAAAGCATCACCTATGAAATCATCTTAAAAATAACTGACTTGGCTTTTAGATGTGCACCGAAATATCTACTGAAGTCATAAACAAGGACATTTTCGAAATTTACTACCTATTTCTCATGCAGATTCACAAACAGACTTCCTGTCATGTCTGCTGTATTTTCTATGTCAGCACTTTGCTGCAGATAAATAAGGTCTAAATCTTTTGGTCTGCTGTAACAACATTTCAGCACTTAACATTAAAGGTTTTAGAAGGAAACCAGCTGCTTCACAGCCAAATTTAATTGTTTTGCAAGTCTGCAATTTTCCCCTCTTAATTGGAACTTGCTGAACTACAGTTATGAACCTAGTTATGACCCTAAGATGCTCAACTGTGAGGTTTTGGATTTTAATTTGCAGAAAACAAACAAGTTTGACAGCTAAAATGAGCATCCATTAGCATGAAACACTACAAAATACTTTTCTTCTCCAGCTACTGCTTTTACAAAACGTGTTAGAAAAGTTTTAGTAAGAGCCTGCTAATGACACACAGTGCAGCTACACCACTAAAGCTGTCAGTGAGTAAGCTCCCAGTGTGTCTCAGACACACTCAATACTGAGGACTTCTGAAAGAGATGTTTCCCTTTTTAAAGCACTGCTTAGTAAGCCTTGCAAAATGCTGTATATTTTAAGGGAAAATAAAGCCAGACTATATCTGGACAGATGAAGTAAAAAATCCTATATCTGTTTACCTAGGAGAGGTAAAGATGCCCATATACTTCTCCACACAGATGGAAAACCAGGTCAGGCTAGTGGTAGAGTAGGTTTGTTGTAGCCAGCACTTTCAGGAAGTTATTTTCTTTACTTGTGTTTAGAAACTTGTGTTCTAATTGCACTCACACCATTGGCACTCTGACAGCCAAGAAATGCCAAGCTATGCTTACAAAATTGTGACTCCAAAAATTGTATGGGATACTGGAAATATTATGGCTCGAGCTTAGAATATGCAAAGCATTATAATAAAACATGTAAACATCAACCAGTCTGTCAACCTTCTCCAATTTCCAACCACTTTTGAAGAGGAAGAAATCTTGAGGACATTAAACTTCCATGCAGTTCTATAAAAACATCAGGCTAATTTCATCTTTAATTTATAGCTTACTTGAGCTAACTGACAGGGGTTCCTGAGCTTAAGGAGAACACAAGACAGACTTGCAAAACTGAAAACATTCTTATCTTCTGTGCTGAGAATACAAGTTTCAGCCAGTTACCTGCAACATGGCTGAACTAAGAGAAAAGGAAAGTTTATACTGGACTTTTTCTAGGGCCAATTACACAACCCATTTGTATCCTGACGTATGACAGCAAATGCTCAGAAGGGAACGTGAGATGTGTGTCCCAATAGCTTTTTTCCTGATTTCCTGTGAAGATTCACTCCACAACTGATGCTATTGTGACTGCTCTGAACAGCTATAGCAGTTTCATAACCCAAAGCTAAAATTCTCTAAATTGAGCATGCTGTATCCTGAAAGAGAAAATTAAAAGTAATATATTCCATTTGGGTTTTTCTCATTACAAAACCTCACACATGAACAAGATGTGGCATTTTTACTTCAGTGCTAACTTCACAAAGAGCATCAAAAGTTCCTCCTTGTTCTGCAGGCAGCACATCACCCAGGCTGGATGGTTTGCTCTTCATGGTGTTTCACCACAGCTCTGCTGCCATGCACCAAACACTAACTGAACCACAGCAGCCTGCAGAGAGGAACAGAACTGCACTTACTTCAGCTTAGTGATCCTGGCTGCTGTTGTTTCACTGAGTTGTTTTGTTTCTTCTTTCCAGCGGTTTGTCGCTTTCCGCTGAGCTACCAACAGTCGCCTGAGCTCCGCAGAAGACTTGTGACTGGTGTCTTCCATTTCCTTGAGCTGAGCTTCATAGCCATGTTCCTTCAGAGCATGCTCATGCTCCATGGTGCTGATCTACAGAGAGCACAAATTGGGTACAATCAACTCTCTCGCTCTGTGTTTTTGTTTTGTTTTACAATGCTTGAGTTAAATTTCTAAACATTTGTTGAAAGCATGTAACATACAATAATTCATCTTGTAATTATATGCTCAGAGATACACGTTCCCAAAGCCAATTTAAACAAATAGTACAACTGACAATAAAGGATAATGAGCTGTGTATGCTTATTTTTGTAAATAATCTTTATCCTCCTCCCTTGTGTTTCCTACACAGAAACACATTGACTCTTTTTCATCTAGATAAAACATGTTAGGAGTTTCTTAACTGCATCTGAAATGCTTTGTACATCAGAGGGAAATGAAAGCAAGCAGTAAATCTTATCTGTGCCTATAATGGAAGCCTGTCTGATTAAAAATGAGACAGACAAAGACTTGGTATATGCTTTATAATCAGTATTATCAGACTGTGATCCTTTGTTTTTAAGCTACATTTCAGCAAAGGGTTCTGGAGTTGGACAAGATTTCCTGTTAAATTTGACAGCTTCCTTATCTTGTGGTGTAGAGTGGAAACCAGGTTTGGGATGGTCCTCACTCAGAACTTGTAAAATTGTTTACTGAGGTCAGATTCATTGTTGCAGATTCTTAGATCCCTATTCAATACTCTTTGCACTGCAGAGGGGAAAGCAGCTTTATATATTCAGAAAACACCTCGAGGATCAAAGCTGTTCCTCCCTCCAGAAGCCAAAGGCACCATGAATCTGCTGAGGTCACTATTGATCCACCATCCCACCTGCAGTCCCTTCAGCTGCATTTTATGTGCCAAAAGAACAACCATGTTTCAGCTAATTATAATGTTTGCAACTACTCATATAGAAGAATATTCTTTGTCCCAAAAATACAGAGTCAAAGTTTGACAGCCACAATATTAAATGATTTATTAGTTGCACACTGCCCTGACAGCATGGTGGGCATATAAGGAGAGGAACATTCTGGGCTATAATTCACACAGAGATTTCTAACATGTTAGAGACAGGAGAGAATATTCCAGTTACAGATCCTCATTTATTTAATCTATCCATCTTATAAAAAACAAAGAACATTTGGGGTCTTCTTATCAAGGATAATTTAATCCACATTAAAATACAATTTAATTAGCAGAGATTGAGTTACCCAATAGATTCTGAGGATGCACAATGCTACAATAAAATTTCTTTCAAGCAGAAACTGGGAAGCATCATTGAAAGTTTCATCTTGATTTAAATAACAGTTTCCTTTCAGAACTGCAGCCTTATTAAGCAAATATCAGTCTTACAGTACACTAAAAGTAACATATGAGCCATACCTTTATTTTAGCTTTCTGCTGAGCCTCTATGGCCACTTTTCTCAAACCTTCCATTTCTTCTCGCAGTTGTTCGTTCTCCTGCTGGAGTTTTAGACTCTGTTCACTGATGAAGGCACTCTTTTCTCTTTCTGAATCCAGTATGCTCTGCAAGTTACAGATCACTTCCTGGCAACGAGATTTCTCCTCCACAGAGCTGAAAGAGAAGGAAAGTCTTGCTGGAACTCAAGAGCTGAACAAGTGCTGAACTACAGAACGTAAGATACGGACTGGGACAGATCTTTGGTCTGACCCAGCACAACTGCTACCCTGTTTCTTCCTGCAAGTTTGTACCTACTCTACATCTTTCAGGGGCTTGACATGTATTTGCATCATTTGCTTGATGCAATGCGCACGTCAGCAAAGAATTTCATCACAATGATGGAATCTATAAAACCAATGTAATACTAGTTTCAGAATTATGTTTTCTTGATACTATTTCTGCTGCTGGTTAAAAAGATGCCACAAAACCATAACACACATTCAGCAATTTAAATAGAAATAATTTCCTTAGCTTTCCCTTCTGATTTCTGTAACATCCATCACTTACTTCATTTCCAGTTGTTTCAGTTTATTTTGTGTTGCCTGTAGACTTAGCTGAAGGTCATCTATTGTAGCTTCTGCAAGTAAATATTTCTGATGCAGTTGCTCTAGTTTTCTATTGTCAGATTGATGCTCTCTGTCCTCCCTGTAAACCTGAAGAACAAACTTCCATGTAAGATCACCTTTACCTTGCCCTGGTGAGTGGCAGTGTAGTGCTGCAAGGAGGCTACTTACTCCTCATTGAATTCCCTTTTCAGTGATTTAAAACAAAACTGAATTTCTATCATTGTTGCTAATACTTGGGGAAAAAAAGTTTTCAAAGATCTGATCTGACATTTATTTAGTTTTCTGTCTATTGAGCTTAAGCAGAACATGTACCGACATCATTTTGGATTATGTCAAACATCTCTCCTTTTACTTTTAACACTTTTCAAAGAACTCTCTTTCTTAATTTAGAGCTGCAGCTTAAAAACACTTTCTAGATTAAAAAACAAAATCCCTAACAACCTGAACATAATTACATGAACATTTACAATTAAGAGAATCTACTCATAAAACAAGAAAATTGAGGGGAAAACACATAAGAAATGGGGAAAAAAACAACAATACATCTTTTCCTTCTGAAAAGAGATCTTAAATGTGATGTAAGAACATGTTTGCCTTACCTTTTCAAGTTCTTCTTCCACTGCTCTCTTTTCTCTAATGGCTCGTTCAATTTGATTCTGTTTTTCTCCACATTCCTATTTTAAAAAGTCATTTTTAACTAGATCTAATAAACCAACACAACAATTCCAGAAGTGCCAAAGC